AATCTTAGCAGGACGCGCGTATGAGCAAAATTTACAACAAATTCAGTTTTTAAGGCACATTTTTCGCATATCGAAGCTGAGACGTTTGTAGGTCATTTCTATTCTTCTTTTCTACCCTTCCCCACATCATGGAATGTGCCAACAGGAAGTCATTTGACTTTTTTTTAACTGGGCTTTTGTGCTACGTGGCAGCTTTTTCATAAAATTTACGACACGCGCGTGGCCGTGTTTTAAAATTCGGAAAATATTTTTTCCTCAAATATTTTGTAATTTTGTATTATCAGTTGCCGTGCATTATTTTAATTTGAATACATTTGGCTCTGTAAATTTTATATCTGTTTTCATGGCAAAATATATGTGCAACCAGCTGATTTTGCTCATATTCTTCAAGAATTATCTGATGAAGAAACAGAAACCTTTGGATGGGAGAACAATAGCGATTTCCATTCCTTATTTTTCTTTCCTTTCTATTTTTTAGAAATAAATAAAAACATTAAAGTTAGTTTAAAATGCGTTTTTGTAACCAGTAAGAAGTAAATTTCCTTGCAGAAGCAAGTAATGCTAAACTTACTTTTTTTCCTACCAAGGTGCTTTCCTTTTTTATTGCCTATACTTGTCTTTGATTAACATTAAAATTAGTTTCGATTTTAAAATATAATTATTAAATAATAAATTTTAAATTTTCTATAATGAAATACATCATTGCATTTCCACCTCACTAACATAAGAAATTAAAAATAATTTAATTATATTTGAATGTGATATCATTTGTACTTTGCAATAATCAGATTAATATTTTATTTCTTAACAAATTTATTATCAATATTCACTCATTTCTGTCGTTTTTCGTGCCAAAAACGGTAAAATAACGGATCTCGTAAAAAAAATACGACGCGCGCGTGCTAATGTAAAATTGCCAAGCGAGCATGCTGGAAGGTTAAAAATCATTGGCAGTAATAGCTGACGAACAACCCCGCTTTAATAATTATTACTTCAGATAAAGTTAATAGTCCCACATTGTTTAACAGTAGCGTAGGTTGCAGTCTAGAAACGGCAGTTTTAGGCTGATAGCCCTCGTGTGCTTTGTCATATTCAAATAACTACGCTTGAAGACAAAGTACTTGCTCATAACTTAAAATTTGCATAAATATCTAGTATAAGTAACTTATTTTAATGGAATTCAAGAAAAGAAAAACAAATATACAGCTTACATCACAAATGGTTAATAAAATTTAGAGTAACTGCCATAACGTGAATGGTGTTATCTGAAGACAGAACAGGAAGGACATTAATGTTGACAACCTGTTTAAAGACTACCGAATTAAACTCGATTCGAAATTCAAGTCAGGAAGTAAACAGCTTTTACCGCACTCAGAAGTTTATTTTTAGCTTAAATCTGCGTATCGGCCACTTTTTAATCCTAAGGTAATTACTTATAAAATGCTTACGTAACAGTGAACCAATAATGTCATTCGCAGAAACAATTTTAAATGCACAAAATGCTTTAAAGAATTTTAAACTCTGTTATTTTTTTCTCAGAAGAATAGGAAACATTAATTTATACTAGTTCCTATAACCACAGGCGACAGAGTTGTTTAATGATCTTGAAATACAGTGGAATTGCAGTTACCCAGATTTCGTGCTTTTCTTTTTGGACTAAGTATGAGTAAGCTTTTTTTACTAAATAATTAATTAGATTTTTAAACTAAAGTGTTTTTAAAATTTTCTTAGGTAACGGAAATATCTAATAAGCGTATTCTTTTAGGAAACTGCTAAATTAATATAAATAAATGTACATGACACGTAGATTAGTCTAAAATCCAATTATGCTTATCCTCTAAACATTGATAAAAAATAATTACGTATTACATATTGCCATGTGTTCATTCCAAGAAGAATTACTTCACTATAAGAAGTACTCCTTTTCTGAAAATAGATTTAAAGAACATGGTGACATCATGTCAGTTCCGTCTCTACGTGAAGAAAGTTTGTTTCATTATAAGTAGGGTAATTACAGTCAGTTCCTTTAACTGACCCTTCGGTGCCAATAGCACTGTTTCCGTGCGCATCGCGATGCACAGTTTCATTTCTGAGATCAAAATATAATTTCTTGTTCAGCATAAAGTACATTATTTTTCATTACAGCTTACATTATACAATTACGATTTACATTGCACTAATAACTTGAAATAAGCAAACATAAAGAGTGTGTAATTAATAACCGATTCTTTTCTAAAGTGAATAATTACAATGCTCGTTGTATGGCACTGCTATTGCGACGATCACTGTGGTGAGAATTGTTGTAAATTTCATTGAGATGCAGCATTTGTTCATAAAATACCCCATTACAATGATAGAATTATTAATATCAATTAGTAGATCTGCCGATAGTAGGCTGCATTGGACCCGCAATAATTGCTACAGCATAGAATTTTTGTATTGTGAAATTTGACATCATTTGGCCCCATTGCTTTGAAAATAAGGCAGTTGAAGTTGCAGATTACTGCTGTGAAGCAAAATGAAGCACACAAGCTCAACAATACACCGTCACACGAGATACGTTCTTTCTTTTCTTCGATCGTCAGGGGTGGTTTCATCAAGATGGATCAACTGCTCACACAGCTGGATCTCCGTAGCCATTATTCAAAAGTTGATTTCAGGATTATTGATATCGTGTTACGGAAACATTAGCTAGCCAATCCAGTCACTTAATTTTGCCGTTATTAACTATATCCTTAGGGGCTACCTAAAAGGTATGAAACACGCCTTCTTGCCATTAAAATACCGGATGTGGAAGTGTGTGCAACGAATTCCTCTGACGAATACCCTAGATCAGCGGTTCTCGAACTTTTAACTACTGCGTACCATCTAAACAAAAACTGAAAAACATTAGTACCACCATTACATTTTACAATAATTATTTTTCAGTTTCTCCATAGAAATACATTAAAATAAATATGTATATCTATACTATATTGCCATTTGCACAACCTATTGGCTCTTTGTATTAAATATGTACACATAAAAAACTATTATATTAAAAATTGATTACCGTTTTAATTATAAAAATTTCAGTTCTAATACTATTCTAAAATTTAGTGTGAAATTTGGGTCTGGTTAAGAGAGTTCAGTTTCTTATTTCATTTAGCTTTAGCGGTTAATTAGGATCCACTTTTAATTTTGTTCTGCATTTATATTTCAAATTTAACATGGAAAAAATCATTGTTCACACAAACAGGTTGTGCAGAAAAGCAATGCCCATTTGATAGCTTTATTTGAAATGCATTTAAATTCTTTTTTCGGGTTCAACCAAAAGTTAACAAGCGTATCATTTTCGAAATCTTCAGTGACAGTTCTATCACAGGAAATTTCTATCAATTGTTCTTTTTTATCAGATTTTTAAATTTAGCAGTTAAAAATAAGATGTTTATTTGCGTAACACCTATTTTTCTCTTGCGTACCCCACCGGTTGAAAACTGCTGCCCAATATGATATTTACACATGATGGCACCATTGCAAAACCTTGAACCATATAAATATATGTGAGAAAATACATATGTTCATTCTCCATTGGCGAACTGATTTTTTTTCCAGAAATCACTAATTGTTTTGAAGCAGGCTATAAATTTTGCTTACGAAAGTAAAAGGCCTCGGTTTGACTTGAATATTCGTTGTATGTATTTAAGATATATCTTTATGCACTATTCTGTAAGAAAGATTTTTCTTTCAATAAATTAAAAAAAGCATATGGCTTCTAGCTAAGAATTTGCAATAAAGATGTTTATCAGACAGCTAGAATAAGTTTCAGCATGCGTGTCACGTTTCTGATGTGTACACGCGACATTTATCAGTTAATACAGTTGCAATGCAATATACTTCTTGCTTTACTAAACTGAATATGTTTGTTTAAACATATTAAGTTTGGAAAAGATAAAGCTACAGGGTTACGTTTGATTAAGAAGCCCTAATTTCGGCAGTAATAAGCCCACCAGCGGCCGAGCGATAAAGTGTGTCTAAACACTGGGGAGTTCGGTCCGCGGTTCGAATCCCACGAACGGGCTAGCTGCATATGTGTTTTCCCCCATGTGTAACTTGTATACGAGCCAGTTTTCTTCAGGATGTCCTCCACGAAGACACCCCCTTAGGTAGATAGCCCTGTGTGTTTTGCCATAATCTTAATATACTCGGCAGTAATAAAATATACAACTTAGCAGCTACATCCTACAATTTAATATTAATAAAACATGCCTAACACTTAATTACTTAGTATATAAGAATAAATTGTTCCTTCAATTTGTGATTTTTAATGTACTTTAGTAATGAAAACTGATTTGGATGTTTTAAAAATGTCAACAAATGTAACTTAAATTTGCTTAAAGAGGAATTTCTACCATAATTGTGCATCGCTGATCATCGTAGTACATTCTGGATATCAACCATATTTTATAATTTTATTTCTAAAATATTGTTGCGTACGTAAGGTTCATTATGAATTGAATGCACAAGTCCAATGAAAAAATGAACAAAATTTATTATTATCACAAATAAAATAAATGCTTAAATTTCCTCAGATATTCGTTCAGTATTACAATATCTCACAATAGTTATCTTTTAACTACTCAAACGTTCAACAGAACTTAATTCAAAACAGCTAGAGAAAGCTAATTCGCGAATTCGCTACAGTCAACGAGAGCAGTTTTCTAAACAAACTCTTAAAACAACTAACTAACGAATTGAGAGGTTTTCATGCCGCTTGTATAAGCTTTTTAAATGCGCGAGAATTTCCTGGTATTTTCTTGAACTCAAAAAGAGATATTTATTTATTAAATGTTAAATGCACGTGCTCTTGTATTTTTAATTTTCCGACTTAGCTTTCTCCTAATATTCGTCACGCGCTGCACTGCACGGGGAATAAAACAATTTAATTTATAAATCTACCAACATTAACTAATTAAATACCAAATCCGTAACAATATAATGAATATGAATCAAAAGAATACCTTGTACTGTCCTTGACAAGTAAAGTGTCATCATTGCTCTTTGTATTTAAAGTAGCATTTTCACTGGGTTCTTCATGAGAACTGTCTTCTGGCAATGAAGTATTTGTTAAAGGGCGCGTCTCAGTAGGTCTTGGTGGTGGACAGAGAGATAGAGGTGGAGGGGGTAATGGTGGAGGCGGAGTTGGTGGTGGTTCTTCGGTAGCCAAAGGAGGTGTTGCTTCCTTAGTGTTGGCACGCTGATATGCTAGGAGCTTGACATTATTGTTTGGTACCTCATTATTTGAATTATCCATTTCGCTGTGACTCTTTACCATACCTAACGGAAAAAAGTTTCTTATAAAATAACAGTATTAAAATAAAATAGCATATAACAAAATACATACAGAAAAAAAGTAAAATATCTGTAAAATGGAAACCATTTGGAATTTCTGAGGTTATATTAATGAAAGGAATGTTTCATAGCAGATAACTGAATATTGTAGACTCCCTCTTAACCGCTCTCACTTTAACCGTCTGTTTTCTTAAAACCTTTTTTCTTCATAAAACAATGCTTCGTTGATAGTTCTATGCAAAAACATTACTTCAACCAAATAAACAAAAATAGTTATATAAGAATACTGCTAATATTAGCTTAGAAACATCTGAAACTTATACTTCAGTAATTGGTTGTTTATCTGACCCTTTTAAATTCCAGTCCCTTCTTGTGTATATTTTCGCTAATTCTAGTTATTTCTTTAATTTAAGTTAATTTGAAATAATGAATTCGGTGAAGTGAGAAGAGATGTGTCAGTCATTGAAATGAATAATGAAATATATCAAACAGCAAAACAAAACACATACAAACTTAATATTTATAAAAAAGAGGTGTTTGCTTTAAAACGAGAATTAAAATCAGAACATCCAAATAAGAACTGTTGATATTTTATCTTAATTAAATAAATTTTAATGGATATTTATTTATATATAGTCTTTTAAATTTAGTTTACAACTCATAAATGTTATTTTGTATACTTTTCCGTATTAGCCAACCATTCATTTACGAGGCTAACGTCCGGTCCCATAGTTAATCGAGAGTCTGTTTTTGCTGTTATTGTTTATTAATGCTCATTTATCTGATCTATAGTCAGCCGAAGCCCACGAAATTCCTCGTGGCGAGGAGAACAAGTTTACGCTTGTCATTGGCAACAGCCTTCAGCACCTTAGCCGTGACAGTGTGACTTAGCTCAATTCAGCCCCTAATTTTGATGTATAGCACGCCGGGAGACGGGTACGAGAGGATTCTCCCACCCCTCTTCCTCTACCACCAATCTCTTGAGAAGACTTTCGGCTAGCCGCATACTTAGAGTGCCCCCATGCCGCACGGAAACTATAAATTTACAAACATCCATGCCTTCTCTGGGATTCGAACACGGGTCCTTCGGTACGGCAGTCAGCAACACTAACCACTATACCGGTTGGGAGTCAAAAGTGTGATGTATACAAGTTTAATACTTTAAAGAATGTTTGAAATACAGCTCATTATACTTTTCAGAGTTTATGTAAGATGTGGTACCCAGTTGACTATCTGGAGGGCTGATTTTAGTCTCCATAAAACCCAGTTCTAATCCCATCGTTTCTGAAATATTTTAAAAACACAAATTTATACCTTAAATTTTTTTAACGTTGTCTATCCGAAGCAAAGAATCATTGCAAGAGTTGCAAGCATAAACTTTTATAGCTGTTGCTGTTTGAATGCTGTTTTGTGCCAAAGTGGGTACCAGAGCTGAACGTTAGAGTGTGAGTTGTATCAGTCATTTACACACCTGTAAAAATACTGCAGAGTTTAAAGTCTGTATTATCTTTTAGCAACAAAAATATTTCAGCGTATATTGCCTTCGCGTAACGTTTCACTAGTGTGGAACCAACTCTAATTCTATCATTTTTTTGGACACTCGTTATTTAGAAATACTTATATTTCCATACAAAATTATTTATGTATTTAGAAGGTTAAAACGAAACAGTATATAATATGATAAAACATTTCCAAAAACATTTGATCTTACTCATATTATAGTCATACTAGCAATATGCAATAATACAATTGTAGTAGTTTTGAGGCCAAATTTCAGTACTTTGAGAAAGAGTCACATCCATTGTTTAGCAGATTATACTGCTATGATATTTAATCACAAGACTTTTCGTTTAGGGAAAATCGGTCAGGTACTGATAAAAAGGCAGTTGCATGGGTTTTATAATTTCTCTATAAATCAAATTTAATGATTTTTTAACATATGAAAATATCAGTTTTGTAAACAATGTCATTTCTAGATATTATTTGATACTGATCAAATATCCGCGATTAATATTATGTAGCACTCCTGTCCGGTCAATAGGGCTTAACTGGTGTGAGATAGTTACCAAACCTCCCGAAAACTACAAATGTTTGTAATTTAACTATGTAGGCATTCATAAAGTAACTGATAAAAACACAAAACCACCCAATGTCATTCACCTTAATAACCTGAGAGATGACGTATTTTATTTCATATTACACAAAGTAAATCAGAAAAATGATTTTTAATATATATATTATACAAATTATATCTGGGAGATGGTTGCTTTTATTTCTTCTTAAACAAGTAAATCTTAAAAAAAAAAATCTGATAATTTATTGTTTCTACTACGTTTATTTGACAAACTGTAGCAAAAGTTTAATGAGAGCAGTACGTTAATTTGACAAACTGTAACGAAAGTTTAATGAGAGAGGCAAAATTAAAGTGTATTTAATCAAATCAACAATTTAAGGATTACATACACTAATTCTTTCTAATAAGAGTAAATAACATTTTTATGTCCCCTTTGTCACATAAACCAAAATGCCCGAGTTCGACTCTATTTTGGTGTCTAATTCAAGTATTTAATCGTACTTTTCTCATCATGTAAAAATGCATATTATTAATATTTAGTCCATAATCGTAAATTTCTACATGCATCGAGAAAAGAATTCATCTGAAAGCTGGTAGTATACAACTTGCTGCTCCACTGGGACTGAGGAACATCTCACGTATTTATACGGCAGAAGTCAGCAAGCATACTAGTACTTAAAACGTTTTGACATTCTTTCTTAGAACTAAATATTTTGGATGAAAACGCTCATTTCTTTCACAAATTTCCAACTGAATATTTTATAGCTTTCTTCCCTGCATTTCCAACGAAAATTTTAGAAAATGTTCTTGAATCTTATGCAGCATTCTCGAGCTCAACTGCGGATAAAATTTCGTATCTGAAAATAATTTTTTAATTTATAATTCCATAAAAATACATTCTTTGATTTTATCATCACTTAAACTGAATAATTATTTCTCAGGTATATGGGTCTTAGACCCATTTGTATCCATTACTTTGAACAAATTTCTTCATAATCTATAGCGTAAATGTGCAGTGAAGGAAGCTACATTTTGGGGGGAATCCATATCTGCTTGGCTGATGACATTAAACTTTCATGAAGTTAATGATGCTGAACTTCGCCGATGTGTCTCAGTTTAATAGTTTTTTTTTTCTTATTTGCTAAAGGAACAGCAGTATTTTAAGTAGCCCAGCAGAAGTTCATTGAGGAAAGCGATTACTTTGTATGGACTCCTTAGAATGGCTACAATAAATTAGGTGCCATGGTAAACCGATAAGCAAATTGTCGCTTTGTCTTAGTGAAACCACTATAACTCATATGAAAATTTAAAAGAGACTTTTTACTTTAAACTTTAACTTAACACATGCATGGCTCATGCCTTACAAAATCATTCACCGCTGCTTCTAGTATTTAAATAAAGATAAAATATTAAAGTAAAATTTAAGTAATTAGTGCTTGAAATTCATAAGGAAAACTTCAGTTAAGCTTTGGCTCAGGCTTCTAAATGTGTGAGGATCACGGCTAGCAATAGGCTAAAGCCGATTTATATAATTCTTAAAGCTGAGCACGTATGCCAGCGTGGCTGTCAATAGCTCACTCCCTGACATGAAGAATTCTGTTCTTATATACACATTAATTAAATTGCATCCTCGTGAAAGTTGACCAGGATGCCACTAAAGATAGAAATGCCAGGAGTGCCACTAAAGATAAAATAATAAGATAATGAGTTAATAAGCATGAAAATCTTACAACTTTAAATCACCACAATCATTTAACTTGTATTTTTTATATCAGGATTTTTATATGAAGTCTTTCAAATTTGCATACGTTCCTTTTACATTCGCAACATATTAGCTAAGCTTTAAACATTAAAAAATATAGCAGAAAGAATTAAGATAATTAAATTATTTTATTAATGTTCTTTAAAAGATGTAACAATATACTAAATTATTAAATCCTTATATACCAAATTACTCAAGCGAAACTCAGTATGAAATGTACTAAAATCATTGTTCGTATTTTAATTTTTCGACGGGCCCGATTTGTGTAACTGTTAATTGACAACTGGAAAAGGAGTTTAAAAATTGAAAATAAGTATGTAGAAAACGCTCATAAAACAGAATTAACTTTTTCTATAATTTAAACTCCAATATAACAGTAAATATTATTTAAACTGCGACATACCTATATTGTTATAACGAATTATTTATATTATTAAATGATTATTGGAGAAGTCAAACAACAAAAATCAGAAAAATTTGAAAATATTACGCTGAATTTAGTTGTTTGACTTCTCCAGTAATCATTATTCGACGTGTTATTTTAACCTAAATTACCAAATGATGTCAACAAATGATATTACCCAAAAATAATCAAACAGTGTGACATTACGCGAAAACGTTCAACAATCTCTGATAGAAGATATAAAATCAGAACTAGAGGAATACATAAGACACCTTCACTTACTTCTTTTGTGAAGAAAACATTTTTTAACCAGTGTCATTGATGAAAATAGCTTAAAGAAGCTGACATACAATTTTAATTGCATGTATTTTACTACTATCTTATTAGTAGATGAAAAGTAATTTTTTTTTCGTGATAAAACACATAAAGATATTTACGATTATTTTATGAAAGTGTGCAAAGAAAAATAGAATTATTATAAGATAAAATTAATCAGAAATAATAAAAACAACTAAATAAACTGCTAGCGTTAGACGGGAACGTATATTTAACAGATCACAGACATGCAAATACGATTTGTAAAGAACACGGAGTGCTGTGCAATATTAATCACGTCAAGACTAAAAGCAGAAAAACTGCATTTCGTTCATTATACTTATTTCGTTTAAAAGATATAAATTTCAAGGCACGTCGCCGGACAATTACTCTCGATGTGAACGTGCAAAGTAAACTCAAACACACAGAAA